TATGTAAGCATTTAAACACTGCAGAGAGTACAATTAACAGTAACAGTATTGTAGAAATTCATTTCACCAAAACAATAACGTGGCGCACAGTGGGACGTCAAAAAAGGCGCACACCTTTGACGCTGCGTTTTCTGCGTTTTCTCTGTTTTTCTGTCCACACATAAATGCAAAAACGGAGTTTTCAAAAATATCCACCCTGGCCGGAGTTTTTAAAAATCTCTATTTTCAGTGACCGAAAACGCCGTTTACGTGTGGACGAAAGGCGCAAACGCAGAGAAAAATCTGCGTTTTCAAAAATACCCGGGTACGTGTGGACGTAGCCTACGTTAGTTGAGTTATTAGTAGAAACTTTAATAAAACGCTCTAATTGAACCCCTTTTGCTTCCCTGTCTCCTTTTTCTGACCCGCACACTTTTACATTCCCCTAAAAGGGTCCAAGGAAAGTAACAGATTCTGGTAACATCAAACGGTTTATGACATTTCTGTGAGTTTGATCTTTGCTATTTCGGTCCTTACAATAAAGAGTTTGTTGTTTTTTGTACAGTAGGCTGGACATATTTAATTAAATGACAGAGTTGGAGTTTAATTCAGTCCCAGGAGTTCCAGAAGAGTGGGTGAAAGTGTGCTGCGTTTAAGGACCTGTATTTTCCAGCTTTTTGAGCGCTTGTAATTGAAGCACAGGAAAAAGACTCAAACTAAGCTCTGATTAAGTTCATTTACTCAATAAAACATCAACATTTATGAACTGAAACCAAACAATGTTTGTCACGTCAGTCAAAATGTCCATGTGAATTTTTATACTCGGGAATTTCTTAACCAACATTTTAATATATTCAGCTTTCAAGAGTTTCCATGTTTCTTGTTGTATCCAGGTCACAGTGCCTGTTTCAATGATAGTTACTGAGTTATGGTTTAAAAAGTGCATGTGCTATACCGTGTGCGTCCACTGAAACATACAGAAGTATTCATGCACGTTGTTGGGGCTTGGAGAAGATTGTAAGTCCTGCTATTATTGTGCTGAGCTTCAGTCACCCTGATATGCACCTGCAGACACAGTCAGCGCCTCTGTGCCCGCTTTGATTATCAGAGTTTTAAATTCCTGTGTCAGCAGCTGTAATTCACTTCATTCGGCTAAATGTGGATTACCGGCAGGCGACCCTGATGTTGCAGTTCTTGTCGATGTAGCAGGGGCTCTTCCCTCCCAGCTCCAGGGTCACTGGGGTGAGGTGACGAGCTGCAGCTTCCATCACCAGTTTGGCCACCGTGCTGCTGCCCGTGAACACGATGTGGTCAAACCTGAGCCTCAGCAGTTCCTGCGTCTCTGACACACTTCCTGTCACCACTGGGTACAGATCCTGCAAAACAAACACATTTACTGATATGT